CGTCTTGATTTTTTTCTTCCTAAGTTCAGTCGAGATGCTGACTCACTTAGCACCGCTGAACCGAGATGAGGATACGATCAACGAGGTTAAAGATCGGTACGCAGGTTTATTTAATTGGCCAAGAACGCAACCGTTGACGCTTTTTTTTTTTCAAAAAGATACGGTCAAAAAATCACATTCTACCCCGATGTCGCACAAATTCTACACCGTCTCCGCGCAGCGGACGTAACCATCGCAGCCTGTTCACGGACTGCTGCGCCTGAGCTGTACGTACATCCCAGTCCGGCCTCAATTCTCCGTACCCCCTCCTCACCGCGTGCTATTCCACATATTTTGCTAAATGCTCCCTTTTTTATTCGTTGCTAGCGCAATAGAAGCTTTGTCTCTCCTCCTTATATCTCCCAAACCCGGAGAAAATGCCGCGCGCCCAACGCGAGCTATAGAGTTCTTCGATCAAAAGGAAATATACCCTGGTAGGCTTTTCTTTTCTTTATGATTCTTTGTTATCTGGCATGTTTCTGGCATGTGTTTTTATTGACGGTACTACTTGGGGAGTTTCGGTTGGTCAGGATCGGAGCGAATCCCGTTCTGCTCTCCGAAAGCTATTCTCTCGGAGTCTTCGACAACCATCATCGTATTTATTGTTATTATTATTTTCTCTTACTTATTTTCCCGAGCCACACTTATCTTACCTTACTCAACACAATCCTTCTTTGTGGTGTATTTAATGCAGGGTCGAAAATCGCACACTTTAAGAAGATACACCAAAAGACTGGAATATCATATTTCGAAATGGTATGACATATTTCACTTCTTAATCCCTCTGTGCCTCGAATAACATCCCTCAAGCTCTTCTTCGACGATGAGCGAAGGAACAAAGAAGTAGAAACATTAGGTATGTCCTTATTTACGACCATTTATATTAATTACTCCACTACATCCTGTTGACCACTATCATTCTTGATACCTTGGATTTATTACAGGTGTAACGTTCCATCACGCCCCAGACGGAATTGAAAACCAGGTATTTGAGAAAGGGCTCACAGAGTGGAAGAAGAGACATCCAGCACTCGTTGTTGAGGACGCCGAGGCTTCCGTGTAAGAGGAGTGAACGGTGGGCTACATGTGATTTTAGATCCTGCATGTGTTCTGGCCGATCAATTGAGCGATGGTATGGGCCTAGGGAATTGACGTGGTGGAGCCGACGCGAGGATCGGACAGTCAACCGACGGCCTCGGTGGAAAAGTCATGTTGCGATAAAAAATGCAAACGAACAGCACAGGAAAATGGCTGTCAAAGCCCGATTGAGCTGACGAAGGACTAACACGCGCAAGGAAGATTCAAGCCGCCCAGGACAGACGTATGAATAGCAGAACGTCTTTCCCGTCACCTAATGTTAAAGGCTCACCTTGATTGTGGAGCTACTTCCAGGCCATGGGTACGGCTGGGACACACCAATGACTTTTGTTGCAACGGTCGCTTTCTAGTCCTTTGGCGAAAGCGATGTCGGTCGAATTTTTTTTCAACGTCGATTAAGAGCGGACCCATAATCGTTAACGTTTGCCTGATTAACTCCACTAGTCAGTCATTTGCGATAAGGGAGCGAGTCCTGGCTTCTCCCATAACTCTCAATTGACCTATTTGAAGCTCCGCGCTGTATCAAGCCATGGCTGAGCAGGCCGTGGACAAGACAGTATTCCGGCTGCAAGGTAATACCTCTAGTTTCTATCTCATTAACGTACTCGGGTGCTTAGATCTTGGCTTGTTTAGTCGTCAGTGGCCGAAGGCTGCTCAACCAATCCAATCGCTCTGCGGATGCCTCTGAAAGTAAAAGTTAACAGCTTTTTCGCGCACACCAAAATTGTCGAGCGGTCTTCAACACCAGTATGGGATAAAACGTTCAAATTGTAAGACATTGACACTTGCTTCCAAATACCACTGACAACTTTCATTAGCTCCGCAAATCCCTCGTCGATGTCGTTTCTTGAAACTATACACAACCTACCTAACACGAAGAACATCCAGTATGAAGTTTTGGGCACCTTTGGGATGCGTATAAGTACCCTTCTGGACGTCGGAAAGGATCGTTATGATTCTGTCTCTTTACAATCAACATAACTCGAGTCGTATCTAGATATCGATCTGAAACTGAGACCCAATAGCGATGGCCAGAACGCAGGTGTGATTACCGTGCGATTTTGGAGTGAGAGAGCTGCCAATGTAATCACAGCTGATGCGGGACAAAGTGCTGCCGCCAAGTCGATGGCATCTGTAATGTCCAAATTGCAGGTGCTCGCAAAGGTCATGGACAACGGCGCCCCGGTATATATGCATTAGCATTACTTTCAACTGGAATTATTGGCTCACTTATCTCCAGATGTACCCCTGCACTATGGTGCGGGCCACCTAGTCACCGCTACTTTTGAACAGCCAAAATAGGAAGATCAATTTTGACTAGAATCCTTATTCCTCTAGCCAAAATGCTCTAGCCAAAATGCTCTATTCAATGAGGCGAACAGATGTGCTAAACAGATTTTCCAAATATTCAAAATTGAGGGAGTTATTTTCGTTGACCTCTTCAGATTGGCCAACAGATACCGAAAGGCACCGGATTCACGTGCCGTATTACTAAAAGGGAAATACCCCTACAATGTATATCCACTATAGTTAGCGCAAATTCCGGCCCAAAATTCACCTTAGTATCCAAAAACACTTATTTTTGGTCTATGGATAACCCTACTAGACAGATTTTCAAACAAAATTGTTTTGAAAAAATTTGACTTCATCTGGCCAAATTGGCCACTGTCCAAATGTGGTGGTGACTAGGTGGCCCGCACCATAGCCTTGTCCTGCAGGTAATATCGTCTGTATATAAGGTACGACATAGGATGAAACATGATATTGTTGTGCTTCTGATGACGGGTATAACTCAGGTCACCAAGAATCAGTTGGACAATGACCGCAAAATTGCTCAACTTGTGGCTTCAATGAATAGTGTGTACTCGTTCACCAATAACCTGCCTACTAGTGCTTTTGCCGCAATCAGTCACATCAGAAATGAGATCTTTATGATCATTCATCAGACCTTTGAGTGCTTGATTTTCATGCAGGAATATGTGGGCTGTGGTTTTTCTAGTAAGTCGCTTATTGTACGGCACTGATATAGTGACTGACCCTTTGAAATTGCAGGGCAAGCGCTTAAGGAGGTGTACCCGGGTGCCACTATAGATTGAATTGAAAGATTTACACAAAAATTTGTTCTGATCAAGCACACCCTGAGCATTATCAGACAAAATTCTTACGTCTCCTTGCGGATGCTTGAGAATAATGACTTCATAAGTCTGTTCTTCTGTCTGAATATTTGCATTAGACCTTACAGTTTCTACAGAAACAGAGCAGATTCTGCACAAGCTGCGACAACTGCAGCTGCTGACCATAGGCCTATACAATCGATCCAAATGCCTTCTTAGAACCGGAGTAAACCTTCTCAGGTTCATCATCAATTGGGCCACAAGTTCAGCTGAGCAGCATCACAATATACTCTGGCTCTATGGAGTGGCAGGATTGGGGAAAGAGCACAGTGTCCACAACGATCGCCAATTTCTTTCAACAGATGCACTGTTTGGGCGCCTACATCTTCTTTAACCAGAGTGAGGTGTCTGAACGAACTCCTTCGGCTATAATCAGGACATTGGCCCACCAGCTAGGTTTATTTAATCATTGCATTGGACAAGCTATTACCACGGCTATTGATAAATGGCCTGATTGCATGCAGTCTTCCGCTCATATTCAACTTCAAAAATTTCTTGTCAAACCACTGACGTCTTTAAAGATCATCCAATTTCAAGGGCCTATCATTGTTGTGCTGGATGGTCTGGATGAATGTGGATTGGCGGGCGACTGTAATGTTTTACTTGAGGTGCTAGTGGAAAACTTGATCAAACTGCCTTTGGCTTTCTGGTTTATCATTGTCAGTCGACCCGACTATGACATTCACAATTATTTTGAATCATGAAGTCACATTCAATTGTATGGGCTGGATATTGGGTCAAATCGGACTCAAGAGGATGTCAAGGTTTTTGTTCGTTATCAGTTAGGCGAGATTGCATGCAAAAGGATAAATCTGTTACTGAATACCTGGCCTGAGGACCATTGCCTTCGCGCTCTGGTGGAGCGTGCGAGTGGCCTTTTTGCCTGGGCATCCAATATATGCAAATCCATAGACATATTGGATCCCAGGGAGTGGCTCCGTGTTGTTTTGGAGGACATCAAGTCTAATGCAGCACCAGCTGGACACAATGTTCATTGCAGCCCTTGAAAATATGGGACTGTTGCAGGATGCAAATCTTTCTGCAGAATTCTGTGCTCTTATGGGAACCATTCTTGTTTCCCAAATGCCCCTGTCAGCTGCCAGACTTAATAGCCTTCTGGGCCTCAATGGTCACACAATCTCATGACTAAGCAGTGGGTTCTACAGCAATGATACTATCCACACTCTCCATCCTTCATTTGACGACTTCATCACAAGCCGAGCCTGGTGCAAATACAAGATATGGTTCATTGACTTGACATCACAAAATTTACAAGTCACTGCTCATTGTCTGGATTGTCTGAATTGTTTCTTGACATACAATATCTGTGACCTGCAGCCCACAATCACACACAATACAACATGTTTTCCAGAGGATATAGTGTATGCATGCATGTTGCTATTGGGTCGATCATATTTGTTTGACCAAAGATGTGTCGCTCATTGCAAACAAGCTAGAAGCATACCTGTTTAAACATCTGGTGCATTGGTTAGAGGCAATGAACATTCTGAACAGATCAAGGGAGACATTTGAGATGCTGGGATGTTTGTGGAGCACTTTACACTGAGCTACAGGTACTGTTGGACTCCATCAGGAGCCCTTCTGCAGTCCATCAGGAGTTCAACTGGAGTTCATCAGGAGTACTGACTTAATCATGAGGGACTTAGGTTTGAAATCACCAAAACAAAATGCCCTCACCAGGGTTTGAACCTGACACCATTATATGATTATATGAGCACATGAATGCAAGCATCATAACCACTCAGCCACAACAGCTTAGAAACATTATCCAGTTGGAACCACATATACCACATGCAGCTATTTTATAAATGGACAAATGTATAACCAAATGGGTATATAACATGTTATATATTTTCTGGACCCATTTTTTGATACAAATTCAATGGTGATGTCCACTAGGTGATCAGACTAGCCTAATATGGTAATTTCTCAAATACACATGTATGTATACATTTTATGTACCTATTTTTTGATACAAATTCAATGGTAATGTTTGTTAGGTGATCAGACTAACCTAATATGGTAATTTCTCAAATATACATGTACATATACATTTTCTGGACCTATTTTTTGATACAGATGTCCATTATGTGATTGGACTAACCTAATATGGTAATTTCTCAAATATATGTTCTCTGAACCTATTTTTTTAATATGAACTCAATGGTGATTTTTGTTTTATGATCAGACTGACCTAATATGGTAATTTCTCACTCCACCCACAGCTACTATTTGTATTACTCAGAGTTCCGACATTCCCAGACTCTGCCACATCCTTAGGTATATAAACCATAGCTTACCTTGTACTTCACCAGTTCGAATATCAAATTGGATCTCACACCTTCTAGTTCTCTCAGACCCTTCCTTCCCTCTATTCCGTTGTCATACTTCGAAATTGTTTTCTCAGTATTGACAGGTTATTTGGTAAATTTCACTCTGAGAAAGCAGGCAGTAGGAATTTACTTAGGAACTTGCTAAGACGTGTACCGTGACATGAGTGTGGAAGCATTTGACCGTGTGAAGAAATCAGGATGGACATAGTGTGTATCTCCGGTGGAGCCAGAACAGTGGAACACAGGACTATTTGGGAAAGAAGCAGGTGCGCAGCGGATCATGAAAAAAAAAGCTTAAGAAGGGTCAGGAAGGACGTACCCCACTTTTACATCCCCACCATGCCGTCTGCTACTGAAGTTGATACCCTTGTAAACTTTGAGTTGGTCGCTCCTGCCAATGATGAGCCTACCTTCGCCCAGGATCTTGTTCCAACGTGACCTGTAACCCCATTGCCGGATGAATTGGCAGCTGTTGACTTGACGCCGGGTCACCTAGCGCCCACGTATTCAGTAGTATCGACGTATCCCAACTTTGACCTGACGCTGAGGGACATGGAGTCTTGGGACCGTCTCCTCCAATGCAGTCTTAAGGAGGACAATGGTGGCCTCCACGCTTGTGACTACCACTCCGTCCAGACCGTTGGTCCATTCTATATGCGCTTCCCCACCCATCCATGCGCATGGTTCGTCACTGGGCCTGGTCACCTCGGAAGGGCTTTCCCTTCAGATGAGACCAAACTCCGGTCGGGAGTTGCACTATGCCTCGAAGACTCCTCGATCTCGACATTTCTCCCCGTCGCAGACTACCCCATCATTTTCATTCGTCTAAAGAAGCCCCTCCGTCGTGAGGAGGGCTATGTCATTTATCAGTTCACCTGCGATTTGTTTTCACGCTCCCCCAACCCAGAGTCTTTGGAACCACCCACCAACCTTATCGCTATTCCCGAGTATCACGCTCATGAGGAAGCAGCTCACCTCAAGTATGAGATATCGACTCTCCATCAGCGAATTTTGGAAAAGGCGTATGCCCTCCCTCCACTTTGCACTTGGGAGAACGAGTGGAGCCCTCTGCCCGTCGGAAAAGTAGAGGAGTTGTCATGGAGTGAAGAGGTTGAGAGGGCAGAGTTGGGTCAGAGGGAGAGGGAGCAGGAAGGGCAGAACGCAGCAATGTAGTAAGGGAGGCAAAACCAGGAAGAGTAGGAATGGACCCAGGTATCGCGTCATGCTGTCTTGTTATCTTTCATCGACTTCTCGCTGAATTTCTTTATCTCAATATCTCAATTTGCGGCTCTATCGTGTAGAACCACCGGCTCAGTTTTGATTCGCATACTTTGTTACGAAGATCTCAGACTATATTTCTGAATCGCAGACTTTGGAAGGATTAGGCTTGAATCTTGCCAGTAGCCAATCACGTGAGAGGGGATAGCAAAGCATGTGATCAGGTACAGGTACACATGGTGCATACTGTGCATTTACTGTGCATTTACTGTGCTTTACTGTGCTTTACTGTGCTTTACTGTGCTTTACTGTGCTTTACTGTGCATTTACTGTGCATAACTGTGCCCACAGTCACTGGAGCCAAGGATTCAGGAACCAGGGGATATAATTAGCAATTCAGAGGAAAGCACAG